GCTCCATGATTCTCCCGCTGACAAATTCCAGACGTTTCTTCAGCTTTCGTTGAGGTCTCAGAGTTGGCCACCATCATGTATGTCTTTCATATGTTAGGAAGAGAGTATACATCCACTAGATAGGTCACTGCGGCAACGGACTTGAATATGATGAGTTCATGATCACTTCTGCCCGTAAATGGAGGGTAAGAAAGTTACCTGAATTCACCTCTTCAGACGAGGCATTTGTTCTGAACAGGAGAAGAATACTGTGGTGGTTCGTACTTAACCGAGAGTTACTTTGTCATGCAAGGTAGTGTGATAGAGGAGGGCAGGAGAAAAGAAGAACATGAGAAAAGGTTGGTGGATTCAGCATGCGGCACAATTCACTTATATTTACAAGGGAAAGCAATGAACAACAATCAGAAATAGCATAAGCTCAACATTGAGACAATCTTGAAATCAAAATCAGAATCAGATAGTGTTGTAACGTTACGTCCGGCTAGTTATCACGTAATTTACTCGCTAGGTCCACGACCAAACTATCCAGTTCAGAGAACAAAACTCCACCAAAATTACTCGCTAGTCGAAATGCGACTTATTCACATATATACTGTACTAAGCCAATGACGTTCGACCGGTCTGATAAGCCTAGCGTCCTTAATAGTCCTTTGCTCGCCTAGCCCGTCCGGTTGAGTCCAGAATGCCAATAACGGCTTCCACTATGCAAATCATTTATTTCAGACACACTTGTTTTATATACCAGTCAAACAGACCTCATTACACCATGAAATGGGAAGTAGCATTTATACAAAATAAAGTAAAAAGTGACTGTGAACGTGGGAGACAGTAATTAATAGACTGAACATAACTTAAGAACAGTATATCGCATAATAATAATAATCTATAATGAGGGGAATATGGATATACACAGTCTAGTTAGTGAATAGTTATACAATAACAATATACAGATAATAATAGTCCACTAATAAATCTCAGACGTTACTCGTTATTTAATCTTCTTTAGGGTATAACAGATAGCTGAAGTCGCCACAAATTATTTAGAGCATATCTTGCAGGAACTGTATTGGCAATGAATCATGACGACATGATCATTATTGCTGAACTTAAGAAACCACGTATGGTTTGCGATGCCCTTTGAACACTTGGGAAACGTCATAAAAACTATATCTGAGGGCAACCAAGGGGGATAGTATGGTTCGACCACGCATGCACGGTCGATCTGCGTAACTTCTTGCTATTCGCATTAAATTTATTGTTTCACTATGACCTTAAACATGCTCTGTAATTGTTCCCTAAGTAACTGTACCACTGACTGTCACAATAGGACGAGTAAAAATAAGCAACTATAGGACTTCGATGTAGGGCCTTATGGATTCGGTAATCATATCATGACAAGTGTACAACGTTGAATTGTATCCACCACTTTGTTAGCATAGATAACTGTGCTAGTGACGACCTTGACCCAAATCCTACAGGATCTCTAACGCGCTGATCTAAAGCGATTGTGATTGTCATTTCGAAGTGTTTTGAATCATGTGACCTCACTGGTGCCTGTCTTTAAATTCAGTTTGTCAATTATTCACTGAAGTCACCTATCACAAGATTTCTGCACCTGAATGGCCAGTATTTGTTTGCAATGAAATCGTTTTGCTCGACGATCAAGGAAAAGTGGATTCAATGAGAACTATAATGCAAATGTTACTGAATGTATATTTCCTGAAATGAATTACCTGCCATATACAGTAGCAGTAAACAATCACAGTACAACAGGATAAAGTGGACATAACTGGACAGAAATAATAATAAGGTATAAATAACACCACAACTAGGTCTCTGTGTAACTGGATTGGATTTCTATTGACAATGACAGTTAGACTCACCGGCAATCGTATTGTAGTGATACAAACACTAGATTGGATCAGGCTAGCCTAATCCAGGTGGTACTGAACTTCATTCAGATTGTTCAGAGTGTTAATTAGTCAATGTGTCTCAAGTAATTGTACATCAATCTAGCAGTAGAATATGATTAAAATACGGATAAATAGATAGGCATCCTGAACTAGCCAGACAGCTGAGCGCAAGTGAACAAATGCGATTGAAATTGTAGCGGTAAATAAATCCCCAAAATAAATAGCCCTGTAAGTTTTCGACATTGGATGCTGACCATGTGTATTTTAAAGGACTCATCTAGCTGAAGGTGCTTGGTCAGGCATCCGCACCAGATCACGTGTGGTAACGCCGTGCTCAACATCAACTGCAATCCCTAGCCAGATTAGATCAGAGGATTCCGATATATTGGTAATCGCCAAATACACTCTTCCAATCTCCTCGACTCTGTCTCTTGATTTCTTTCGGTGGGTACAAATTATATTAGGTGTTGCTGGTAAAAGCGTTGTCAAACACTGAATACCTGTATCATCTTCAAAATAATACATCTGACAGTCACATGTTCAGTTAAACTAGCAAGTAGTTGTGTGCATTTAACATATCTGTACTAAACATCATTAAGTGCATGTCTATGTACATGCAAAATATTATTTCACAGTTCTAAGGGTTCCAGACGTTACAGTGGCATCTAGGAAACCAAAGATGGAGCCTACATATTTATTGCCCGATTGGACTGTGAAGGAGAGAAAAACTTATCGAATGAAGCCCGAAAATCTACCAAGTCGAATTCCGAGAGGCTATTTGTCTTCCAAAGAAACTTTTCGAATGGCATTTTCCTTAGGAGCTTTTTGAATCCTTTTCGTGCTCTATTCTGTATAATTGAAGTATGCTAACTCCTGCTATAGTTTCCCGCGAGAACCTTGGATAATAATGTTCAAATTTAGCCTTTGAGTTTCTTTTGGAAAATTGTTTGGGATTGTAGAAGATGACTGGCCGATTTTGTAGGTCGGACATGATGTTTCCTGAGATTTTTCATTAGGCTTTTAGCATCGCAGTTTGATTGGTGAACCAACTTATGGGCTTCAATTTTGGTTTTCTCCCTTGATTTTCTTGGTGTCATTATAAGATATTTGTTTAACTTGCTGTGCTTCTGAGACAAGTCCCTTACTTTAAGAAGATCAGGCTATGATCTTGTTTTTACTTAGTTGGCGGGGGATTCTAAGTTTGTATTGAGCGCATTACGCTATTCGGCGCCCCTTAATTTCAACCCTTTCCTCTTCGCATGTTCGATTTTTTTAAACCTCCTGTGCATCAGTATGCTCATCATCTACAATGTTTCTGAGATATATTGTAGTTTTTTATTTTGATCTGATTCTGGATAGCTAATGACGCTTAATTTGTCTCCGATATTTGCTCAGCATTTCGTGTAATCTATAACTTGGTATTCATTTAAGGAAAGTTTTATGGTGATGTTCAGTAGCCTGATCGAGTCAAATGTCAGCAAGGAACTTTCATTGGGGCTGAATCTTACGTTAAAGGTCTGTGGCTTGTAACATCACCCAAGGGAGTCAGGATGAGTCCAGTGCACTTGTAATGCGATTACTTATTGCAGATATAACGTTGTATTCCTAAAGCGAAGAGAAGCATATGGGTCTGCCACAATCACACTTTATCCAACCTATTTAATTGAAAAAGTGGTGTGTGAGAAGTCCTGATTGAATAACGAAAAATAATTAGTTATTCTCAAGACTATCGAACATAAAATCTGGGGGTCGAAAATGAACCCACATTCAAATTACATCACTGAGCACACCCGAAGGCCCTGCATTTCGCAGTTTTAAATACAGATTCAGGTCTTTGTTGTAAGGACAGAAGGCTTACGGCCTATGTTATCCCTTTCTCTGAGTGTCTAGTCTTCTCTTGAATGAGTCAATTGAAGGTGAGGACACCACTGCTCCGGGCAACAGATTCCAAGAATTGATGACCCGGTGTAAAAACCTGTGTGCCACGGGAATTTCGTTCGTTCTTGGCTTCTCTACCCACCTATTATGTCCTTTGAATCTTCACGATATGATTGGAAGAAAAGTAGAGAATATGCCAGGTCCAAAATCATTTCTAAGTATTCTGTGCATCAAAATCAGACAATCTCTAAATCTGCTGTATGATAGAGTAAAGAGGTCTAGCTTAACAGGCCGCTCCTTACATGGTAAACCTCAGAGTTTCGGAATCGAACTTGCAGCCGCCCTCTGTACTTTTTCTAGGATATCCGATTCACCTTTTAAACAACGGGTTTTCAGGCTGAACGCAATTTTCAAGTATCTTCCCCGCTAAGGCTGTGTATACTGAAGTGAGTATTGTAGTATCTAACTTGTTGAATCTCCGTCCTAAAGCCCATAGGGTTCTAGACCCCTTAGCTGTCGTAGTTTTAAGATCATGACTCACTGTCATCCCTAGATCCCTGCCAGACCGAACTACGGGTACAGGCACTTCCCCTATGTTGTACCTATTCATCTTTGTATCCCCCACATTCATGTAGACACATTTGGCCGCGTTGATAAGCATAAGCAATTTTTCAGGTCAGCTGATCAGAATATCTAAGACTGCTTGAAGTGCTCATCCATCTGAATCTACTGTTATTTCTCGCCAGATTTTTACATCGTCAGCGTATAGTAGCATTGGGGACTTAACTATACTTAAAGTATAAAAAAGAAAGGACCTAGGACAGAACCTTGCGATACTCCACTAAGTACTGGTCGCCAGGCGGAACAATGTACAAAGTTATTTTCTCTGCATACAAGTACCTCTTGGTGTAGCTACTTGAATGGACATAACACTGACACTGAAAAAAAACAATACCTAGACGACACTTTAACTGGTAATTCAGTCCGACCTAAATAAAATCAAAAGTTTGCACACTTTGAGAATGATCAAGGTTAAAAGATTTACTCATTAGGGGGAGATATCACTGAAACTTTTAAATAGCGCCCATTTACATTTATGAGAAACTAAAGGTAAATGAAAAAAATTAATAAAATAATAATGCACCTTAGTATAACTTTAACACAAATTAAGTATGCCACAGTCTGTTTTACGTTTTTTTCCACAGTGATGTTAAACACTGCGAACTAAGTAGTTGCGTTCCATTTTTGGACCAATCAGGGCTGGCCTATTTTCGTCGCGCATTATTATAATGTCTTTATGTGTGGGAATTTCGATAGCACTTTCTTGGTAGTATTCAGAGTGGCTTATATTTTTTAAGAGTCTGTAATTATGTTTTAGTGTACGTTTTTAGTGGTTAGGATTCTGTTTGTTATCATGTAACTAAATTAACTTGACAAGTAATACGTTGTTCAGAATATCATTTTTATTGACATAATCTTGTAAATATTTTGAATCCATATTTTCATATTATGGGGCTCATCCTATTAAGTATTTAGTGAATGCTTGGAACCCTTTATATAACGGCTCCCAGTAACTGGGATCTTACAACTCTTATGAATGCTAAGTTTTAAAAGATATGTAGATCAAAAAAGATAAATATATAGTTCAATTATTCACAATAAATCACAGGCAGTGTCTGGGTAAGTTAATGATGGCGTTTATTTCAATATTTGATAAGGGTTAGTTGTGAATCATAGTTGCCAATTCTTGTTGTCAGTGTTGATTCACTATAAATTTTTGAATCTTGAATCTATGAGTTATTGCAATCCACTCGTAAGGGACTAGGTCACACGTACTTAGAACTTATTTGGAACTTGGACATAGGATTTTACGTACAAAACACATAGTGATCCTTTCTCTCCAGCACTAATTTGCTGGATTTAATAATATTGCCAGTGACCTATCAGATTAGGAAGTAAACTATGCAGTCGTATAGTACCGTTGTTCTTTCAAATTTTACTTGATGGGATGTCAATAAACTAAAAACACCTGGTTAGGGTTGTGTTGTATATTGCACTGTACACAGCTCACTTGGTTTCCTCCGACTTGCATCACCTGTGGTGCAGACGAGTTGTCCATCTATCTCTCAAAAGGCAAGTACACTGTACATCATCCTGCTCTATACTGCTTAGTGGTTGCAAAATATTGTCAGCGAAAGTGTAGGTTGTTAGTATCCGATCGCATCTCTTCAAACCATTTTTCGAGTATTATGAAAACACAGGGAGTAATCCTAAATTTAAGCATTTGCTTTTTGGTGAAAATAGTTACTCGATTTATGGTTAGGTTATGTACTGCTGATATGATAGACAAGAGTTTACAAACCTTTTAAAGGCTCTCTAATCGAACACTATTGGTCGGGTCAGCTTATAGCGAATTGCCACCAGAATTGTTAACCTCCAGTGGTGTTATTTAGTTATCTCTCGTTTAATTGGCTTCGCGATATATGCTTCTCTAGCAACAGCACTTTCTACACTTCACTTTTCAGGAGTTGGTCTCACTTCAGACAGTTCACTTATCGGCTAGAAATACTCAGGCCACGACACTGACAAAATGCAATCTTGATCGTATTAAGTGACTTATATGAAATGCTATTCCATCTCTAGTTACATGGCGTTGCTTCATGACTGACCTGGGTCTACGCCTGAATTAATGATAGAAAAGTAGTTAAGCATGTCGACCACTTGTCTTGAAGGTCTCACCGCCCTTTGGGGGCTAGTGTCTGACGGAATCTGGGGACAGATTCATAAAGCTTGGTTAGATTTTATCAACTTACGTCACATATCTCATAGCCAAGATGTCCATCTGCTAACTAAGGGCATGTATACACAGCAATACTATCTGTATTACTTTATGGTTGTGAAACGTGGTCTATATAAACAGAAAAAATTCATAGACTGAAGATTTCTGGTCACATAGGTTTTCAAAACACTGCTTGCGTTTCTCGGAATGTCACTGGCTCAGATGCACTCACCGTTTCTCTTCCTCTAGATCTTGAATTTCAGTATTCCTTCATACATTTTACTTATTATTTGTTTATTTATTTAAACTCATAAACATTGTTACAAAGGAGCACCAAAATATTTATGGTCCAAACAAATCATTGAATTTGTTTGTGGGCTAGGATACTACCACGTTGTCTAATCCACTAGGCAGTGAAGCAATGTTAAGAAATATGGTCCCATGGTAGCATGTAATGGGTTCATATGCCATTTATTCTCTCACGATCCTGGAACTCATGTGCACCGTTGGTTTGGAATCATGGTTTTCCAACTTCCCTGGCCGGATACTCAGCACTCGCCAACCCAGTTTAGGCGCCGGAAGTTAGCTTTTTGTCTTCTCAATTTCATGAACAAGTGCCCTGGCCGCGGGAAGCTAGTGAATAGGACTTCCCTGACAGTGGCTATACACGCGCGACTGTATGAGAGCATCTCGAGAGGGTGAGAGGATTCACTTCACCCTTGGCTGTACCAAGGCCTTTGAGGTCATTCATGGGGCTTACGTCAATACCGATACCTTAGTTTTGTACGCAAATATCAATCAGCCACATCTTATCACTGATCATTATCGACTGACCAACATTTTTAACAATATCAAACTGTTTGGATAATCAAATCATCAAAACTTTTCCATAGCACCTAGGTATGCTCAATCACTTTCTACTGCAACATACAGTGGTAGCAAGTTTTGACACAGGTTTAAAGGAGGTTAGGGATGATCAAACCAGCATTAACCTAGTCAGTGACTACTGATAAGAACCGTGCGAAACTCGTGGTTTAAGTTAGCACAGTAATCGTAATCCATGGTTGAAAATGTTGTAGATGTCCCAAAATCATTTATTTATTTATTTTTTATTTCAACACATAAATAATGGTACAAAGAGGCACCAAATACATATGCGCCACACAAATCTCATTCGATATGTGTGAGGGCTGTGATACTGCTCGGGTGCCCAAACCGAAGCAGGTGGTTTTCTTAGGGGGCCACTCTCCGAGCCTTCGACCTGAAGGTCTGATCCACAAGGCAGTGGAGCATCGTAAGGAGATGCAGTCCCATGTAAGCCGGTGACCAACAATTGGTTCATACGCCATTTGTTCCCGCAGGATCCTGGAGCCCATGTGCACCATTGGTTTTGAATCCGGTTAACGCGCCGGACATTCGCTTTTCGTCCTCTCATTTTCGTAAACAACACCCCCGCCACGAGAAGGCAGTGAGTAGGACTTCCCTGGCAGAGGCTATATACGCGTGGCCATGTGAGAGCGTTTCGAGAGGGAGAGCGGACTCTCCCTACTCTCGGCCGTACCAGGGCATTTGGGGGCCCCAAAATCATTTACAGTAGTTTAGATGAATCTATTGTTTGTATACCACTAGGTCATAAGTTTCAACATTGTCTCATAATTTTTATTCCTCAAATTCACTCTTTTCTGAACCGCATCCTTTATATTTAGTCTTTTTCACCATCATTGTTACTATTAATTTCGATTCTTTTGCTACTCATCCTGGTAAATTTATCTCGCTGTGTTGATATGGTTAGCTCACTTTTTCTAATTCACATTCTTCCTAGTTTCTACATCGTTTGTAACTGACCGACTGTATTTTGAGCAAGTAAATGTATCTATTTCATTGAAATCGTTCCTCAGATCAAAACGTATCCAACCCCTAGATAGAAATAGGAAAAGTGAAGCCGAAATTTTGAAACAACAGGGACGTCATCCCTCATGCATAGCAAGTAGTGGACCACTTGATCAATCTGTATGTAGTTATATGACAATACGATAAATGTCTGAGGTGTGTTCCATTTGTTTACCCATTATCATCTACTTGGCGTAGGGGCAGATTTAATGAAAAAACCGGTCAAACTATAGGATGGTGTCAGTTAATAAATTCATTTAATGCCAAACTGAGTTGTATTGATAATTGCAAGCCGCTTGTTTAGAGTTTTCTCGACAGTTACCACCATTAGTTAAAGATTTCGGGTAACGTGACTCGGAATCTGGCAAACTGACCCGGATCTTTTGATTTCTACTTTTCGAACTATGTTCTTAATGTTTAGTCCTACAATCATTGATACTACCGCTATTTCGTTATTTATACAATTAAGTTCATCCCATGTATTAAATAAATAAGTAAGATGTATAGCTTTATATCATGTTGATGTGGTTTGAGAATTTGGGGGATAGCACATTTATTCAAGGTTCCGGGTTAACTATCAATAAATGAGATCCACATCTAATCTCCAAGATCTATAACTTAGCGTTTTTCGAAGAGTAAAATTTTAATTCTCACGTCCTCAGAATATGAGGTTTAACATTGTATATACTTAGGATTTAAATCGATATCTTTTATTGCATATATTTTAGATCAGGTCTTAAACAATTATGACTTTTAATTCATATCCTGTAATCTTTAACCATCCATTTTATTTCAGAAATCCACACTGGTACAATACTTTTCGGTTATAATGTATTCAGTTATTTCAAGCGATTTTCAAACAGCAGTTAGTACTATTTTCGGTCTCAACTTTTTCTATGACATCATAGGATGAGTTATCCACCAGATGCTTCACGTTCATGTCATGAAGCTGATGGACGTAGTGATCGAAGCGGTGGTAGTGGTGGTGCAACTAGTGGGAGTGGGGGTGGGGGTGTTTATGGAACATTATGCAGTGCATTTGGAGGTAGCAACTGGTCAAGCAGTACTGCATCATATGAAGTTGGACATGATCCCATAATTTCCGTAGCTCCATCAAATACAAATGAACGGATGATTTCAAATTGGAAGAAATGGTCGTTAGGTTTGGATTATTTACTTCAGGATAGTGAAGGTGTAGCCCTTTTTAAATCTTATCTTCAATACGAAGGTTGTGCAAATCTTCTTGATTTTTGGTTTGCATGTCAAGGTTTCCGGAGTAAAGTTGATCCTTCTGATCACCGAAAAATAACTCAGTTGATTAAAGCAATTTATCGTACTTACATTAGAGGGTCTAGCAATAGTCTTAATTCTCAACCTCTCCTTTATTTGGGGAAGCAACAGTCCACTCCTGTGCTACAAAACCGAAGTGAACCTATTCGTCTTAGATCAGAGACTCGGCATGCTATCACAGAAAGAATTTCACGCAAGCATACCTTAGACCAAACTGTATTCGATTCGGCTCAAGCAGAAGTTGAACACTTTCTACGAACAACAGCATATCCTGCTTTCCTTAAATCTGATATTTATGTCGATTTCCTACAGACAGCTCTGGAAGGTTCTATTCGTAAATTTCCTACGTGGGAACAAACGGTCTCTACCTCGTTATTCCCATATACTGGTGACAAACAGTTAAGTACAGCTACTAACCTCCCAGAATGCCCGTCAAACATGGCATTAGGAGGGAAAGTTCTTCCAACTTTAGATGAGGATCGTGAGTTGCAGTCTGAAGAACTATCACTATTGCACCCTTCAAGACAGGCTTGCAGACCTGCTTGTTGTCAAATACTTTCGTTAACTGATACAGCTGCTGTTACACCTGATCATGGTCATTGTCAGCACTGTAAGAAATGTCAGTTATATAATCCATGTTTACCATTGGATTATTCTCAACCTATCCTAAGACCACCATCGTGTTATCAACAATCGCCAGTTGTGCCTACTAGTTCGGCAGCACCTCTAACTATGGAAAATTTGCAGATGACTCGATTTTATCGTACAGAATTATCGCTACAACGTTCTTATTTTAATCCATCTCAAAATCCTTATGTTACGAGACCTAATCAAGAAGGTGAACCTGTTGGGCATGCACATGTATCACGTGCTTACAGTTCAACTCCATGGCGTTTTCACAATCGCCCCAACTACGCTTACACTCACTGGGCAGATGCGATGTGGTAAGTAATTTATTTGCTTGCATATTTGTAGCGTTTTATCGCTTACTATAATTTATAAATAATTAGTAACTCAACTTAGACGATTACATCACCTTAAATTTATGCGAACACTTTTGAAAAATTGAAGTCTATACATCCCCGTAACTATATATCTTTATAGCTTTTTGTTGTTTGTACTCTATACAACAAGACTTCTAGTACTTTTTTATACAGATTTTCTAACCGTTTTAGTCTACTAGTGTGCAAAAACTCATCGTGTAATTTTCTTTTTCACTCAGACCCCCCATACGGTAGAGCGGTGATTTTCTAGGTTTAATCACCTCACTGTCAGTCCTAGGGTCATAAGTCCGGAATTTACACGTGTTTAGAGAACATTTGTGATGTAATAGATATATGTTGTAAACAATTTTAAGAACATAGTCAGAACAATTTGATTCACTCGTTTGCGTTTTTCGGACAGCACGTTCATTGACATCGATTTTTCGATGAAATTAAGTGGTTAGGTACAAATTTATGTGCACAGTGCAGTTATGCTATTAAGCTAAGCAGATTGAAGTAAATTGACTGAATTCGGACCCACTACCCGGTCATAAGGAGTTAAATGTTTCAACCTTTAACACACTTCTTGGTCTTTCACATTGTAGCTGCTTATTATTTAGTCAATAAATTGTATGCCCCTAAATACCCTGCTACGACCGAAAGTGGGAAGAGTTCGCTCTTCCTCTCGAGATGTTCTCACACGACCCGACTCACTGCCTTCTCGAGGCGAGGGTGTTGTCTACGAAATTGAGAGGGCGAAAAGCGAATGTTGGACGCTTTAATCGGGTTGGTGGACATAGAGGGTCCACCTAGGAAGGAGAGTTGGAAAACTCTGATTCCAAACCAATGGTGAATATGGGCTTCAGTATCCTGAAGGAACGTTCTAATGCTTTGTGGATTAGACCTTTCAGTCATAGGCTTGGGTTGTGGCCCCCTAAGAAAAGCAGCTACTTTGATCTGGGCATTTGGGCAGTATCCCAGCCCCCACCCAAATCGAGTGACGAAGTGTGGCATATCTGTATTTGATGCCTCCTTGTACCAATGTTTATTTGTTTAAATATATAATGATAATAAATTGTATAATATGTCAAAATATTAATGTTTGTGCATAAATTCTGTAACCAATCGTTATGTTGTCCCTGAATTCTATCCTAATCCATAGTGTAATGATTGGGCTTTTACTATTTTAACCGACGCGGTTATGCAGTATGGAATTACTGTAATTGTGAAGCTTCCAATAATGTATTTCATAATTAATGTAATTCACTTACCGAGTAGACGTTTTATGTTCTATACATTGAGCTATACTGTTTACATGAAGGCTGATAATGTTATCTGGTTATCCAACTGAAGTAGGTTTTTAATAAATATATTCTTCTTTATATCCCATTGAGTAGAAAAATTGTATTTCTGACGTTTCGTGACTTAATATAAGCCATTTCTTCAAACATGTGACTTATTAGTTGGAAACAAATTGTATTAACCACTGTCACCACATCCCATAACTAATCAATGACTTAGCCACACTTTGTCTGGAATTGTGCTACCTGATCAATTTGTTAACTGATATAATATTGGACCGGGTACTTATCTCTAAATGGCCTATAATTCAGAATTCACCAATTTGATCTTATATGGAGCGGTGGCTTATTGGTGAGAGTATTTAACTTTCAAGCACCAAGTTTAAAGTTTGAACCCCTCTTCGTCTACTTGAATTTGAACAGTCGGATGGTATTACTAACTTTATACACATAAAATGTGGGCCCAGTACACGAATCTGTGCTTAGTAATTGAATTATATTACGTACATTGCTTCAATTTGTAATGTTTCGCAATAGTGTACTTAGATCGGAAAAAAATTTATCATTTCATAGTTTGATAATAAAGATTAATCAAAATAAAAAGGGTTATTCTCATGATACAGTACTTCAAATTTAAATTCTTTTTTGTTTCTAGTCCACCTTCTATGGATCCACGTTTAGGGAATTTGCCCAGTCAACCGCCTAATCCATATCATATCTCTTATGCACCAGTTTCAGCACGTGACTCAGAACATCATAGTCTTTCAAGTGATGCACGAACTGATGATACTCATTCACATACAGATAGTAGCCAGTAAGTTTGAAAATTTGACATAATATATTTTGTTATTATTATTATAATTATGATAAGTTTTGTTTTCATGTAAAAAGGAATAGTCTCAGTATAGAGTCTGAATTGAGGGGAGTTGATTTTTACAGACAAAATGTATCTTGAAACTCTGTTTAGCTTACATCATTTTGAAGTAGCTGAATTACTCCACACTCAACTTAAACAATATAGTTTAAAGTTTAGTAAATAAATCTATTTGCGAGGCACGTTATTCATATTTAATGGAAAGACTATCTTACTAATATTAAGGTCCCATGAAAAAGCTTGATTGCAGCTTAATAGAAACTGTCGTTTATCATACCTTTTCGTAATTTAATGTACACCAAATCTGTGAAATAATACAGTTATTAATGTCATTGACTTAACAGTTATTTAACTGCTTCGGTTTGGGCACCCGGGCAGTATCACAGCCCTCATACATATCAAATGAGATTTGTGTGGCGCATATGTATTTGATGCCTCCTTGTACCAATATCTATGTGTTGAAATAAAAATAATAATAAATAAACAGTTATTTACTCGTGTTTTAAACTATAATCTGTATATATACTATGCTATTGATCAAGCTTAATTTAATGTGGCGAAGTTCAAATCAGTTAAATAATAGTGAAGAGTTTTGCGCTTAAATGATCATAGAGTCAATTAAAGCTAGACCACCATGGAAAATCTGAAAGCACTGGACAGTGTTAATATCTAACACCGTTGGATGCCGGCTCAGTGGTCTAGAGGTTAAGCGTTCTCGCGTGAGACCGATAGGTCCTGGGTTCGAATCTCTCGGGGCGGGATCGTGGATGCACACTGTTGAGGAGTGCCACACTAGAACAGAACGGCTGTCCAGTGCTTCCAAGTTTTTTGTTTTACCTTAAATTTTAGAACTCTATTAGATTTTGCTATTCCATTAGTCCATTCTTTTTTTTAGAATCATATTGTCTATGGGTAATATTTTATAATACCACTGTTACTGTTACTTCTTCTATTGCTCTGGGATTTGTATTGATAATTTCTTCTTACTGTGCTCATATAGAGTAGCAACATGAACTGATGCACTTATGTTCCATTGTCTATATCTGGCTTACTAAATGAATCAATGAATATAATCTCATCTATATTAGTGAAGTAGACCATCTTGGATTAATTCACTATCTTAGCAATTTTTGTGAAAAAGCAATGAAGATACTAACAGATCTATATAATAAGGTTTCACCTTGTTGTTTTTTTCAAGGTATTCCCTGTGACTCACTTTGTTGAGTGTATAGAATTTTCATTATATGCTTACATAACTACTACGTTGCATATGGCTTATTAACTGATAACTACATATACACAGTAGAGGTGATAAAACGAGCACACACACTACATTTCATTTCAAAACATACCACATGTATACATACTTCTATTCTTTCTGTTATCAACTTACACATACAATATTGTCGGATCAAGATGTAAGATCAAAGGTAATCCCGCTTTTATGAATGTAAATAGTATAGAAATAGCAATCACATGTTCGAGAAATTGATCGTTTGTAATGGAATGTTACTTTATGGTGTGTGCATATTCACTAGAGCGAGAGAAAGAGATTGCAAGCAAACAAACCAGAGAAACCAAAATACTTCTACTGATCGAATTAACAACATGATTGTGGTGACGGTCATAGTGTTAATCATAATAGTGATGGTAGATAATAACTGGACTTGGATACGAATATATATATACCGTGGGTTCAAGTCAGCAGGGTAAATGTGATCATTGGTTGGAGACTTTGGGTAATATGAATCGGAATAGCTTACACTGATGCAAATGAATTTAGTCGTTATATTCTTGTAGAACTTGAGTTCCAGCATTATTCCACACATACCTTTCCACTTCGTCTTTTTTAACTGTACTTTCAATGCTCAATCTTCCTCGTCGTCACATTATTTCAATCTCTTTTAGCTATCCATCTTGTTAGACCACCATTGAAAACCTGGAAGCACCAGACAACCGTTTCGCACTCTGAGGAGTCCCATACTAGGATGAAACGAGTGTCTAATACTTTCAGGATTTCAATAATGGTCTAATATTGATTGGTTCATGATCTCAATGCAATCAACATCGTCTACGTGGATACTTATCTGAAAGGTTCCCGCATATTTGATGTTCTATTTCTTACTTTCTTTTTTGAGATTCAGTATATTATCTGGATTGTCTATACTAAGATCAGCTTCCCAATGTTCCTGTCAGTTTATTTTATTTTTCAAAAAATTATATCTTCTAGCGACGGTGCTTGCAATCGTTTGCGTGCTCTTAATCATCGTTATCCAAGCCCATTCCAATCATCACGTTCTCATAATAACAATAATAATAGTAATAATAGTAAACGTCAAAATCAACTCTCCCATCATCATCATCACCATCATCAACGTCATCTATCTACCGGTCCACAAGGGAATAGTAGTGGTGTTGGTGAATTAATGGTGCAGTGTACATCTCCTAAATCATCATCATTTCCAACTTCTTTTCAAAGTCGTTTACAACAATCTAATCCATTTTGTCGAAGTCCGATCGGGATTGGTGGTGCTGGTGGTGATAGTCGTATCAATTATGCTTTGGAGACTTTTTCAACCAATACAAGTTGTCCAATAAGTACAGCTCCTATTACTACTAGTAATAATGGAAATAATCAAGGGATTGGAGAGAAAATTGCTCAACACTCAACAACAGATCCAATTATTAATAATAATAAATCACAACAGCAAAAACATCAACGTCGTCTAGCTAGACGTGGTATCAGTTCTCGTCCTTTCAGTGATAAAACAAAACTACATAATAATAACAATTATTGTACCGTTGGTAGTGCTGCTGCCGCCGCCGCCCCTACTGCTGCTGCTGGAAATCCCACCGGATTGAATGTTCCAGTTAAACCAAGTAATAAATCATCGACCAGTCGATCATATAGCATGGCTGAACATGATCCAAAAGCTTTTGCACAAATTTTATCAGAGAAACTACAACGTTTATTAAATAGTCAATTAGTTACAGAACGTCTTGATAATCTTATGATTGAAGTAGGTTAATACGTGTTATCGTTTAAAATATTTATGGAATTCATTAAAAATTACTTCCCGTTTTTTTTATCGTAGTTGCTTTTTTTTCTTCACTTTAATTCTGAAGTATTTGATAGTAGAGTAGTGGTTGATTAGTTATAGAGTCACATTCAATGCTTAGAGATGAACTCTTATCCATCTATTTCGGTTTAAACAACCGGATTGGTATCTTTAACCTCGTGATGTTTAAGGTTTAACTTGAAATCAAATCTCTTACCTAGTGAATGACAGTTTCATGTTATTACAATATAATACTGATATTATTATGGTTAAACTGGATAGATGTAAATTGAAATCTTCAAGTCTGATTATGAAATTAATCTTTTTACATTTATTCATTATCTTGTTTTAAAGAAAGAAAAAAATGACTATACTACTGATTGGATGATGTCTGTGTAAGGAGTGATATAGTGTCTGACTTATTCCCTTAGTATGAATTGAATTCTGTCGACTAAATTAGAATATGCCGAGAATAAACGATACTTTAACCTCAAAGAGAAACGTATATATTGATAGTAATTCGAATGATTTTGTATACCTATTAAGTAAGGTCAAGAATTACTGGTAATTACTAATGATTCAGAAGTCCAGATTCATTCGATTTTGTTGAAGTTTCGTTTGTTTTTGATGGTCGTGGAGCCTTCATTGTTCTTCTGAACATCATCAGCAACAGCAAAAGAACTCGAAGTAGAAGTGAAGTATTAAAATTTCTTCCCATATGACTCATAGCTTATCCTATCAACCTCAATCTTGATGTGTTTTTATTGATCTTTAATTCGTCATTGTCTACTTCTTTATTTTGATTGTATTTTCCTTTGGTCTGATTGTTGGTCCTATATTTGTCCATCATTTTTCTGATTGCATCAACTTCGATATGTTTATTGATTGCTGATTGACTTGAGTCCCAAGCTTCTAAAATTATTCTATTTTATTTTATTATTAGAAGCTTTATTCAACATTATATTTTTGGTACAACATAGAATTCTCAGCATAAAGTATTTCAACAAGTTTCCTTTTCTTATACCTTGATCGATTGTGACGATAAATTTGGAATGATGACCAGTTAGATGTTAGGAGTTCGGTAATCCACATTTGATGAATGTTCATTCGTTTCAATGCATATTGCCGGCCACCATGATGTCGCTGATTGTACCTTTTTGGATCACTTATAGCGAAAGGTTGTAAACTTTTCATAAACGCGCCTGAATAAATTGTGTGCACAATAGACATAGTGATGTGCTAAAACAAACTACAAAACAGATAACTTGATGAAGTATCTAGATCGGAGGAACAGGTAGCCCAGATATTCAAGCATTCCATTCATCCAAAATCTTAACATTTTCCCAGTTTAATGTTCGTTCAAAGTTGTCCACATGCATTGATATAGGTGAAAATATATATCATGGCATTTGACCACCAATTAATGTTCATGTAGACAAAGATGAAGATGACTTCTGCTTTGTCCGATACGTCTTTCTCTATTGTAACAGTTTATTTTTTAGATGATTTTCAGTTCTACTTATTCCGTCATTTTGTTCTTTCGTTTTCATAAGATTGATTGAAGTGATTTTACTGTTTTATATGCTACATCTATTTCAAACGGCTTCAATAATCTTATTGTCTTTTATATATTGTAGGACGATCCGTTTGTTGATTTCGTTTCTGTTGATGAGTTGGGTTGATATTTTTTGAAGTTGCATGGGTAGCCGTTCTTTTGAAAGATAGTCATTGGATATTTTTGTTCATTTTTCGGCGCTCCAGGTGTGCTGTAGTGTCTTCTTACCCTTTTGAATAAAGTTTGTACTCAGTCGATTTTGTATGATATTAGATTGCCGCTACTGTAGTTGAGAATTTGGTGTTTGTGGGTTGGCTTTCGATATACTTCAGTCTCCAGTTTTTTTTTTGTGTGTTGGTTCTGGTGATCAGTACATCCAAGGATGATAGCTTGCTTTTCGACTCTTCCATTGTGAATTTTATATAACCGAAAATGTTGTTGATTGAATTGCAGGTTTTTTCCAGCTCATCGTTTTTGATGATGACGAATATTTCGTCCGCATAACGAATCTACATTTTTGACTTGATCATTGGTAAAATCGAGGCTTTCAGTCTCTGCATTACTGCTTCCGCATTGGTGTTCCTTTCGTTTGTTCGTAGATTTGATTGTTGGATTGAAAACATATTAGGCACAAACTGATGAGTTCTAGTGAACTTTGCCTTTGTGTACCTTTTGAGATTTATGTCGTTCATGAAAAGTAGGGATAAAGTTTCGTTTGTTAAGTTTAGTTCGATTGAAGTGAATAAGACCGTTACGTTTGAAGAATATCATCAGTTATTGGTTATTGATTTGAATCTCCTTTCTCTTATCCAAGAATTGTATGGGAGATTTATTGAAGTTATTGGATGAATCCACCAAATGTTTCAATATTCTTGAAACTTCTCTCGACAGATTGCATGTTGGCGTTCCCGTAGAGTAGTACAATTGGACACAGTAGGATGTTTGGTTTGTTTAGTTTCGGCCTAGGAAGCACTTGTCCACTGGATTTCATTTGCCATGGATCTTCTTTTGATGTTTTACCTGTTTTAACAAACTTGTTTATTTGTCTAATCTTTTGATTAGATTTGTGTTCATTGATTCATTTTCACTTTGATCTTCAAATAGTTTCTCAGTTATCCTGATATATTCTTCTTTGTCCCATAATGACAATAGTGTGTCTTTTGTCCTCTGAAACTTTGACAATATCTTTTTTTCTTAATTTTGAGTTTCTTTAAACCTTCTCGTTCTTATGCTGTTAGTTGAGTGTTGCCGAGTTAGCGGTACTATGGTTTGCTTTATTTCCTGTTGAATTTCTTCATTTATCCCAAAAGTTTTGAATGATGACTCTAATCTTCATTTATATTATGTCATATAGACCATTATAGATACATATTTGACTGGTTTATTGATTATGAAAGTGCCAATTTTGAATTTGTTTCAATGACATAGTGTTTCTGTATATATTTTCTCTTTTTAAATGAACAGACTAGTCCAAACATTCAAGAAAGTCAAGAACAAGTGAATGAAACTACCAATTTAATGATTACAGATTATAATAATGACAAGTATAATAAAGATGAATCATCTATTATTAGTAATACTTCAACTGTTATTACATTCACAACAACTAATTGTCCTATTGTTACAAATACTACTAATATTAATGAAACTACTACTACTACTACTACTGACTTAACAAGTACTCAATCAAATTTCATTCATAATCAAATTACATCATCTATTACTAATCGATTAATAAGTGATAATATATCAACTGTTGCTGTTATTACTACACCTTCAGTACTTCAACGTCCATGGGCTGATAAGTTATTAGCTGCTGCTCGTGTTCAACATGAAAATACACGTGAAAATGCTCAGGTTAGTTAGTTAATAGATTGTAGAAAATTTTATTTTTGTTCTGCTTTTTGTTATTGTTGATTTTAAATTAATTTAATGTATTTTGGTCGACCAAAACCATCCAGCTCGAAGAACAAAATTCCATCAAAATCGTCCACCTGAGCTACAAATCTTCTCTATCATCTCAAAATCATATGAGCGTAATACGCTTCTCGTTGTTCGAAAATGGGAGAATTTCACCAAAAGGCAGGCTTCCACTCGAGAACAACTATATTTTCTCCATGAGTGTCTTCACACAACCAAACCATCCAACTCAGAGAACAAAAATCCATCTTAGCTACAAATCTTCTCCATCATTTTAAGTTAATGTATTGATAAATGATAGCCTAAGAATAATGATCAAATCAGATTATGTCATTAGTTGACAAATTTACTGATGATAATTGTTTAAAGTTGTAAAGAATCTGTTGAGAAAATTCAGAAAATTCCTCGAAAAATAAACCAAAAGAAGGATCTGAAAACTCTGAGAAACATCTTATCTAATCAACGTTCAATAGAAGTTTTGCTAGAAACGTCTAGAAAGTGAAAAGTTACATGTCGTATTTCTCATTGGATGCTTATCCATACTGTTACTATGTTTAGTAACGTTTCAGGATTTTCCGGAAACCTATGGTCATCTAAAATACTATAAATACCCTGGATTTTCTATATATATATAAATGAATCTTGGAGTAAAGCGTTTCTTCCATATTTCGCTACTTTTCTCTTGTGTTCAGATTGCTGTACAGATTTAGCCTGGGGTTTACTAGAAAAGCTTAGGAAACCGAATATAGCGTTCAATTAGAAGGTTTATTAGATTTCTTCTAATTTTCGAACTCTTTCTGGTTGAGATCAATGTGGTGATAACAATCCATGGTGATTTGATATGTTGATTGACATAACTCAGAATTGATCATAGTGGTAAAGATACATTCACTATTTATCCAGTAGTCATTCATATGTGCCATTTTCATTGCATATTCTCTAACCACATTCTTAATGTTTACTGTTTCTTACTATCACTACTCCTATTGCTGTTGTTTGAATTTCTTTGCTATTCATCTTTTTGATTCTATCTCATCTTGCTAATGTGATACACAATAACTTGAGCTAATGCACATTTGTATGAAAGAGTTTATGTTGATCGTAACTGATTGATAATGCTAAGCTATACTATTTTTCATTATCAGAAGGGGTTTTTCTAGAGATTTTAGCAATTTCAATTGTTGAGATCATGAGTCAATTGAAACTAGACCACTATGGAAAACCTAGAAGCATTTGGATGGTCGTTTCGTCCTATTGATTAATTATCAACTACTATAGTAGTTGAATTTTTTCCCCTTTCTCTCTACCTCTTTCCAGTCTAAGAAACAAATGATTCCTTTTAACTATTCGTTCCAGTTAGTCATATACAACGTAGAACCTGATGCATCTGCTTATTGGTTCCAAAAAATGTACCGTCTTATTACACTGAGATCATGTTATTTCAGAACAAATTATTATAAGTAATAACAATATTGACAGTAATCATATTAAAAATAATGATTTCAAAGGATTGAATGTAGCTAAAGAAGAAAAACAACTAAGTATAAGGAGATTTCAAGACTCATAATTGTAAACAAAGCGAAGGAGTAATGAATACACTTGCATCATTACCGAATAATTCTGAGCCATATCACTCAAATTCTTTAATCATTAGTTATGATAGTCATATGGTGGACCGCCAACCAAGTAAGTAGTCTACATTGATTAAGATAGTTCAATCCAATTGTCAATCAATTAATATAACATCTTAGTGTTTGGCCATTGCTCTACTCTACATCAAACATCATCCATTGTATTAGACGGTGTTTGAGTTCAGGTACACATATTCGTTTATATTTATCAATTAGGTTGTGAAAAAAAAATATTCATTCTTATTTCGGTTTATCTCTTTAGAGAATTTCAATTCAAGAAGATGTATTTTGTAAGTTTTTGTTTTCTTTCCAAATCACAAAAAAAAATAAAAAAAAATTAGTTTTTAAGGGTAAAATGATAAACATTATGTATGTTTTCTGATGGAATTCTATTTACTTCTATATATTAAGAGTAGATTAATAGAAGAAGCATAGAACAACCACCATATTTGTTTTAAGGGTGGGAGAAAAATCTTTTTTTTATTGAACTTGATAATAATTATAATCAGAGAATGATTAAGATAGATCCTTGGTTCGAATCTTGCGAGGTGAGGTCGTGTATGCGCACTGTTGAGGAATAGTCCCACAATAGGATGAAACGGCCGTCCAGTGCTTCCAAGTTTTCCATGGTGGTCTAGTTTCAATCGACTTATGATTTTAACCACTGAAATGGATAATAATTCTCATGATTTAACGATATGACGAAAAAAGAAAACAGATATGCTTAAGTTATATTAGGGTCTATGTAATCGAACCTTCAATTACAAGACACTAGTTATATAATCTAGTTCAATTATCAATTAACCTGCCTAAATTATCAAATATCGTACCAATAAAATGATGAATGTAAGTAAACAGTCAAGAAGAATATTCAACGATTATTATTTCAGAATACGATCCTTTCATGTTCCATCACCGCTGAGATTGTTATACTTCATTAGTTTGTTATAATGCATTTCAATCAGTTATTATATTACAAATATTTATTTGGTATAATTTACATTCATATCTATTTGATAAAAGACATCTTATGTAATTTAATGAATGTAAATATGTTAACTATTCCTTTCAAAATGTTCTATATGTTGTTTAAAAGTAAATCAACGAACTACATAAGTGATCTATCTCATGAATACGAGTTAATGTTTACAAACTTAAAGATTAAATGAAGTAATACGGAGCTATATCGATTAGGTTTTAGTTATACATATATATATATATATATATATATATATATAGAAAAAACAACATCCAGACACTCATGAAGTGAAGCATATCTGATGTTGTTATACTGTTGTAGTAGTAGTAGTAGTAGTAGTAGAAGTAGTAGTAGTGGCGATTGTTCATCAGAAATAAAGTAACAATCATTTACTTAACAGTGACTGATCATAACCAGTGATCTTTAACCATATCAGATATGAAACAATTATCTATCAATGGGAATAGATAATGATCGTGTAATATTATGAATTGATTGAAATTAAAGATCTATACCATTGGATTATCAGGTTAGTATTCCAAAAGTTAAGCATATTTTGCGAGACTTGAAGATCTTCAATTTGATCTGTTGTGAGTACTCACCGTTGAAGTATTCATACTGAAATGAAATAACTATCTAATGCTTCCTATTTCTCATGGGTTGTGTAATTCAGTAATAAAGATTTGAAGAATTATGAGAGAAAACTTATGAAAATGCATAGTAATGATAATTAAAATGAAGAATTATTTACAACTTCATTAGTGCATCTTATGATGTTTACGTTTCTGATATTGATACACTAATATGCTGTACACATGCTTAAACCAGCTACTTAAGTGTGAAGGACGTTTTATTGGATAAACCGAATCCAGGGGTATCCGTATACCCATTGATATATATGTATATATATATATGTCTTTTGGAAATTCGAGCTACATGTTCAACTAATGTCGCGTATCTTACTTTTTAGATAAAAAAAAAGCCAAGCCTTGTCCGGTAACGTGCTATTTATCGATCAGCTGATGTCTGAATGCTCCCATCGCATCAGATCTATTGGCTACATTACAATATACTGTGTATAAAATGTAGCTTTTTAAGGCTCGATTATCTTTCACACTCTTTAGTGTTAAGTAAAAAGATTCTTGCAAGTTGTTATATCTTTTTACGCCATTAACTATACTACTATTGTATTTTTCCACACAATCGATAAACCATGGAAATTCTTACTTTCCCAAGTTTCTAAATAGGATAATAGATGAATGCCAACTACTTATTATTATCATCATAATTTACGAGTCACCTGATAACATAAGTAACGGTAATTATAGCTCACAACACTTAGCAAAATCCCTTTAATGAATATCAAACAAATTAAATTACACAATGACAGGAGAGAGTGAAAGAGAGACAGCTCGAATATCATTTGTTAAGATGGTGGAGAAGATTTGTAGCTCAGCTGGATGATTTTGATGGAGATTTTTTCTCTGAGCTGGATGGTTTGATCGTCCTGTACAGAACAAGCTGTAAACCACATATAGAGAAATTCGAACACTTCACTCTTATGTGAAGTTTGTGCTGATGACGTCGTTCACAAGAACGATGAAAGCTCCACGATCAAACCATCCAGCTCAGAGAAAAAAACTCCATCAAAATCATTTGTTTAATATAAACTAGGAGAAACATTAGTCATAAATAATTAGTCTCTTCGTCTTTAAAATTTTGGTAGTTCAAAAGAGAAAAATCCTTTCCTTCGAATTGTACTGAAGACTATGTTTTATTAGTGTTATCACTTAAAGGTATAACTGTTTGCATACTCCAAATCTATGCGAAAATTTTCGGATAAGAGATCATTTTCTAAATAGTTCAAATGAAGTATGTCAATTTTATAATTCAGTTAAGAATTGTTAAAATGACAAACACTAGTACTTCAACGTAATTTCACAATCTAATCAATTATATTAGAGAGTAAAAGATATACACTCTCATCATCTTGATGTTCACCTTTCAATGATGAACATTTTGATAAAATGACAGATTGACTTATATAGTCACTGTAAACGACTGTCTGTTCAAACTTTTAGTTCAAACCTTCATCATATGTGTATGTTTTCTTATAAGTTTCACCGTTTTACAATTGTTTTTATTGATTAGTTCTGCCTAGCAACTGCATATCCGTACATTATCACACATGTTTTGTTTTTTTTCTTGCGAAACTCAAGAATTGCCACTACCTTGGTTCGTATATTTTCCACCACCTCCTGTGTTAATTCGAGAAACGAGCAGTACTTACTATAGAGTTCTTACATGAAATTTACCTGGCAATGTAAAGCGTTGTTATGAGAGTTGCAGTCGTCCAATTACAAATCGCTGAAATGATAGATCCACATAATTGGCCAAGAACTGACTTTATTTTGCAAGGTTTAATTTTCCATGGGACAGATAGACATATATAAATTTGTGTATATAGGTATTTCTTGATTCGGTTAGTCAATTAACTCCCGTGCTCACTCTCACTTCCTTAGTGACTTCAAGGACTGATGCCACGTTTTGGTTTGGCCGCCCCTAACCTTCTTCCAACCATACCCAACACCGGTTAGCATTACACGTCGTGGTAATCGGTGTTCAGGCATACGCAGCACGTGCTCCAGCCATCTCAGTCGATGAAGATTTACAACCTCATCAACTGATTTACCATCATTTCCTAATACCTCTGTGTCTGACTTCACTATTACATACCCGGTTATCCCAGCAAATGCAAGCAATACTTCTAATACATCTATGATCAAATACTAGTGGCTAACAAATATCTACTCTTAATGGCCATGTTTCTCAGCCGTAAGTTACAACAGAATGAACTGCTGTGCAGTACACTCATCACTTAATTGATAGACGGATGTCTCGTCTTCACTATAAGTGACGTAAGTTGGCAAAAGCCAAACGAGCTTTTCGAATCCGTGTAGAGATTTTGTCAGACACTAACTTATTAAGGCTGATCAGACTTCCAAGATAAGTGAAGTTGTCGATGCGTTCGACTACTTCACTCCCTATCCTTAGCTCAGTTGTTGACGCAAACCAGTCCTGAATCAACAACTTGCATTTCGAGGGAGAGAAGCACATTCCAAACATTCTGGCATTGTTACTCAGTGTTACCAACACACTGCATTTTATCAGCGTCTTCACCAAACAAGACTCTGTCATCTGCTTATATATGCTTATAAAATAGAAATCTTATTGATATATTACTTATTTTGTATTGAGACTTCTTTACTGTTATCAATCGTATGGTATTGAATAATAATACAACAGAAATGGTAAAATATTCGAGAAATTTTTCACTTGGAAAATAATAAAAAGACATTCCATACCTTAAAAGAGTATCAAGTGATGAAGTTGTATTTCTGGGTGGTTTTATTCAATTAGTAAGAGTGAGGGAGAAAGAGAAAGAGATATGCCAAATATAGTTAATTCACAGGTAGTTAGCACAATTCTGCTCAGTAAATAAATCACATAAATAACAATAATTTAATGTATGCATGAAAGTGAAAGAGAGATTTGTCCTGGATAATAAAAGATTTGTATGCAAAAATAGATAGTGGCTGGCAGTGGAATCCAGGACGCGTGTTTCGTCCTATTTGGGATTCGTCAGCTGAATGTACCTGCAACTCAGAGCTGATGTTCATTCTGAGACTTGAGCTCAGTACCGTTCGCTTCAGACGCCATCACGTTATCCACTTAGCTACTGAGTCCTGTTAGTCACTTGCTTGTGCAATGGAGTGAAGTTACATTCACTTGGTGTTGTTTAGTTGTATCTTCCCATCATTATTTAGGACTGCAATTGATCAGTCTCATATTAGCATATGTGCATCCTATGCGTATTGCCTCGATATATACTGAGTTCAAGTCCCAGAGTGAACATCAACTCTGAGATGCAAGTACATCCAGCTAACGAATCCCAAATAGTACGAAGTGGCACGCGTTCTGGATTCCACTGCTAGCCACTATCTATCTTTACAATATAATACTTGTAAATTGAGGCTATATCGAGGCAATCCGCACAGGATGCATATATGCCAATAAGAGACTGATCAGTTACAATCCTAAACATCAACGGGAAGATTCAAACCAACAATACTAAGTGAACAAAAGATTTGTATTGATTCACATGGCCATTTCAAAAGTACATTACAATTAAGTATACAAAATTATAATTAAGATTATCATCTCTTTTTTGAATTCAATTATTTATATCTTCCAATTCGGTTTTGATTGAAGTCTATGGTGATTGATGATTCTTCAACGATCTAGCTTATTGTTGATTTTACTGAAAAACTCAATAAAATACCAACTAACATGCAACAATTCAGGTGTTATTATGAATAGTTATCTTTATGGAAAAGGACTAACAAGTAGTGAGAGTCAAACAACTTCAGGTTTCCTTGACAACAGCTCCCAAGAATTTATAACTTTAGTCTTTCAAAGCTATAAAAAGATTTCAAGAGTTTTCTACAGTGCTCTAGAAAAAAAATAATGAACTGTGTCATAGGTAATTACTGATCCCCTTTTTTTTCACCGAAGTTAGCATGTTTCAGGAGTCTCCTACAATATCAAGGCTACGTATTCTTCTATAAATATCTTAGTTTTCTGTGTCTAAACTAATTTTGAGAGTAAAATTTTTTGTCTTACTTCCCGCTTTTTGTTTTCTCTTCAAAGTTCTAGTATGATACATCTGAAGAATATTTTCATCAAAGGTTGGTTTTGTCTGTAGAAATCTCAAATAAACAAAGTTTTATATTGTCTTTAAAGAGAAATTATTTATTTGAACATATAAATATCAGTACAAAGGGGCACCGAATAGATATACGCTACACAAGTCACTTGATTTATACATGGACTATGATACTGCCCGGGTGCTCAAACTGAAACAGCTGGTTTTCTTAAAGAACCACACCCCGAGTCTTCCACCTAAAGATCTAACTCATAAGGCAGTGGAACAATATTTGGAGATGAAGTCCTACGGTAGCCGATGACCAACAATTGGTTCATACACGATTTGTTCCCTAAGGATCCTGGAAACCATTTCGTAAACAAAGGTAGTAAGTAGGACTTTCCTGCCAGTGACTGTATACCCTTGGACATGCGGTAGTATTTCGAGAGAGGGAGAGGAAGAGTTGACTCTCTCCACCTTCGGCCGTACCAGGACACATTGTCATTGTTATTTTTCAAAGTCAACTTATATCTTTATCAAATTACTTCAACAAATCTAAATTCTTCTGTTTTATTATGTCAGGATTTGAAATGTACCAACTATAATCACCGAAACACTTATTTATGTTATAATCTTCTATATTATGATAATCAATGTCAATATGTCGTGAGATAGATTATATATTCATTTGATCTATTTATTTACATTCTAAATAGGAAAGTTTTTTTGTTTATTTTTCTCTCTATTGTGTACTCATATTGATTTAATTGTTGTTCTGTCAACTTTAACTCCTCCTGGAGTCCCTCCGGGGGCTACTGCCGGTCAACTTCAACAAAGATCCATGATTGATCATTTTCTATTATAAAAAAGTATTTATAAGTCAACATTTTTTATTACTATAATGATAATTATTTTCTTTTTGGAATATAATTTTAGGCTATTCTTGAAGATCATTGTTCAAGAATATGGGCTGCATCAGCTGATCGTACTCCAAGTAGTGGAGGAGGCGGAGGAGGGAGTGGCGATGGAAGTAGAAGAGGTGGTCATCTTCGTGATGTTGATGATGATGATGTTGATGGTGATAACAACGTTACTAATGATATTGATCATAATAGAATTGGTCTAGATCTTAGTATGCATTCAACTAGGCCTCATGATACTACAACACTAGATGATCACTCATCTCAACGAAATATTTCATTAGATATAAATGAACGTTCATTTATATCTCCAATTATCACAAATTATAATCATGAATCATATTGTCCATCTACTTCTTTAAATTATAATCGACCATATATTAGTGGTAATAATGTTGTTATCGGTGATATCAATTGGTCACATTCAACTAATAATGATCTAACAAAATCACAACAAACACATAATCATAAATCATCTTCTTATTCTATAGTTGAAAATAATTGGATTAATGATGAAAATACACAACTTATGCCTAATAATAATACGATAAATTCATATAATAAATCTTCCAGGTAAGTAAGTAGTGATACCTTCATCATCTTTAAAAGACTAATCTATAGACGAAGAATAAATTCTTTTCAGATTCTACCATTCAATATATCCATATTAATAATCCCAAATGATGATCAGATTGAGGACACTGGGGTAGCCGATCATGGTCAGTGAGTTGGTGATAAATTCAAGCTCCTGATTTAGAGTGTCTATTGTGCTGATCTTTTTAGCTCTGCTAGTGAGACATTTAACCAAATTTCTCTTGTATCGGATAGGTGTGAAACTGTAGAAGTGAGAAACCTTTATACATGAAACTACAATTCAACGGGGATGTGACTAGTGATACTCTGAAATATAGGTTAACAAAAGTAATCACCATGACATTCTACTCAGCCAATCTTGCGTTGGCTTTCTCTTATCGACCAGTGATGTCTACGCAAACGAAGGATAAGTTACCTGAGTTGGCCTCCTCAATGTGCATTTACAAATTCCGCTGCTATATCGGGCGTACTACCAGGCGACTTAACCAACAAATGAGTGAACATCTACCAGCGTGGTGTATAAAGGGCCAAATAAAATTATTCATATTGATATGATTCATATAGAATGTTAACTTGAATCTGCATATATATAAAGTGAAAATGATCCGAATAAATATGGGTCAAATAGGGTGAAAAGGCTATATTGTGTAAAAAATTAGTAAGGAGAGATGAATGCGAAGTGAATAACTCATGTATTGGGGAGATTCATAATGATGTGCTAACCAATAGTAATAATATTAATGCAAAGATTTGTGAATAAAGATAACAGAGACAATTACAATTGACTGTGAAAGGTCGTAAGTACAGTAGTCTAATTCGGTCATTCAATAGCTAAGATTACTTCAATGGTTGAGATCATGAGTCAATTGAAGCTAGACCACAATGGAAAATCTGGAAGCACTGGACGGCTATTTTGTCCTATTGTGGGACTCTTCAGCATTGCGTATCCACGACCCCGCCTCGCGGGGTTCGAACCCAGAATCTACTGGTCTCGCGCGCGAGTACTGAGACGGCATCTAACGATGCTAATGCCTAACTTCAATTAATCCACCATTGTCATCAATGAGTTACTATCTCACAACTAACTCGGTTGCACTCCACTGATCACTGCTTCTCACTAGAACTCCAGGATATACTAAGATTACTATTGATTAATTGGCCTTGATGTTAGCCAGTAGAGGAGGACTGGTTGAAGATATTTCTTCTGTACGTATAGCATCCTTGTTAACCAATAAACGACTTCTTGAAACTATTGATATAATCCAAAAAACTACTATTAATGTGCACAACAGACGTTCAATTCCAGTTTAATAACACCATATATCGTCAAATCGACGGCGTAGGAATGGGAAGTCCACTAGATCCAATTCTGGCAGATATTTTTATGGGTATCTTGAAAACATGGTGCTTAAACAGGCGATTAGCGAAACGACGGAATATTCCAGATATGTTGATGACACGTTTATTGTCTGTAACAATAAGCAGCATGCAATCCGCCTGCTAGAACTCTTCAATAATGCACATCCTAACATACAATTTACTATGGAACACGAACAAAATAACATGTCCCACTTTCTTGATGTTGCTATAAAACGTAGGAAAGACGAAACAGTCCGACGTTCGCTTTATCGAAAAAGTACTTGAAATGGCCTTTACCTGAATTTCAATAGTTTTTGTCCACTCAGTTACAAGAAGGAATTAGTTAAAACACTATTTTATAGGGTAGAAAGGGTATGTACTACTGGCAAACTGGAAGAAGAATTGATAAACGTGGAAAAATACCTACGAGACAACTTTAACCCACAAAAGTTTATTGACAAATATAAAAAGCGTAAAGAAAACAATACTGAAGTAATTACGGTCAACAAAAAACCACTGTCAGGGAAGTCCTACTCACTGCCTTTGTTTACGAAATTCATAGGACAAAAAGCGAATGTCCGGCGCTTTTACCTGGTTGGTGGACACGCATAGTTCACCTAGGGGAGTTGCGAAACCCTGATTTCAAACCAATCGTGTACATGGGCTCCAGGATCCTGAGTGAACAAATGGCGTATGAACCAATTGTTGGTCATCGGCTACCATGGGGTTGGATTTTCTTACATTGCTCTACTGCCTTGTGGATTAAACCTTTAGGTTGGAGCCTCTGAATGTGGCTCTCTAAGAAAACCAGCTGTTTCAGTTTGGGCACCCAGGCAGTATCATAGCCCATACATAAGTCAAGTGACTTGTGTGGCGCATATATATTCGGTGCCCCTTTGTACCACTATTTATGTGTTCAAATAAATAAATAAAGTGAATTCACTCTTCTTGAGGCCTATTCTCTGTATGTTAACATCTTTACTATCACTACTTACTTTACTACTGTTTCCACTACTTTAGTTATTCATATTTATTATTTCATGTATTTATTACCAATATGGTGATGTGTCAACTTGAAGGGTTGTATTTTTGTGTCCATGGTCTACATTACTGATCATTGATTGATTTAATGTTCTGATCAGTTCGTGATTTGTCTGTTCTCTCTTATTTTTAATCCTATTGTGTACCATTGAACAGTCGACCCATTAACAGTCAATATATTATTATTATTGTTGTTAGATGTTGATATATACTCGTAGTTATACGTTGTTAGCATTGATAGTAGTAATTGTAGAACTAAATTATTTGATAATAATATTGTATGGAACATTGAAACTTCCGTTGATATATTCACTGTGATTGATAGATAAGTCCTGGGTTCGAATCTCAACGAAGCGGGATCGTGGATATACACTGTTGAGGAATCTCACAATAATAAGACGAAACAACTATCCAGTGCTTCTAGATTTTTCATGATCATCTCACTTCAATTGATTCATCAATTCAACCATTAAAATACTCATTTTTTCTTTTTAACTTGACAATAGTGCATGTATGTGTGTGTATATATACATATGCAAATATAAAGGAATTTATGGGTTGTCATTATTCTTCCTGTGTATCGTTGATGCTGACAATACTGATAGAGTTTCTCTTGTTTCTCGTTAAGATAATGATTCTTTAATGATAATTGGGATATTAGTAGTAGTCGTCGTAGTAGTACTTTTGTGAAGTTATTTATTCTAGTCTCTCTCCCACACACACACACTCTCTCTCTCTATACTTGTTGCTTGTCATTGTCGTTATCCTGTTTTGATTGATTAGTTATGTTCTAGTTATAAGAGGAATAACTAAGTAGTATTATTCATCATGTGTTGTTAGTTCATTGCATTCATTGCATTCATCCATATGTATATTATCTCTCTCTCTCTCTCTCTTTATCCCTCTCTACTTCATTGATTGTTAAGAGTATACTGACCACATGTGTACATATTCTGTTACTCTTTATGATTTATTTCATTGTCTATTAATAAATCGAGGTTATAATATTAAGATTAGAGATAATGAAAGAGAAAGTGAGAGATGGTCAATGAAATGAGACAATAGTTAGTTCTGATTGAATACTTGATATCTATTTGTGTGTATATGTGTATAATCTAGATAGTATCATGATTTGTGGTTGTTATAATAATGACAAACTATAGTTGATTAGTTAGTTAGTTAGTTAGTTACTTGATTGTTTGTCGCTGTCCATTTTGAACATTAAAAAAGAAGAAATCTGAAAATGGGCCCTAGTTATAAATAAAGGAGAAATAATGAATCACTATGATTGTTTCGTTTTTCTCTCTATACTACTTCTTTATATTCTAAAAAACAATAGTGTACATCTATCATAAGTATGTGTATATGTATGTGTGTATGTATGTGAAATGATTGACAGAAAGCTAAACAAAATTAACTACATATTACATGATATTCAAATTCGAGTTACATTTATAATTGTAAAAGAGCTCATCTCAGTCAGTCAGTCAGTAACAACGTAGAACTTCGTACGTACGTACAGTTCGGGTTGCCACACCACATTAGCACAGAGATGCAGTTGTCGATTCAAATCTCGTAGTGGTAGAGGTAGCAAGAGTTCATCTAACTATCCAGAGACATGAATTAGAGTAAATGAAACCCTGATTCGAATCTTTCATTTACTGGTTGAATGTTAAACACTTTAATCATTAAGCTATCGATTCACTTTTCTTTTCTTTTTTTGTGTGATTAAATTACAATAGACTTTTAACTTTTGATTAGTTTATATATTCGAACCCATTTATTTTTCAAATGACAAACTCATAGACTGTGAAATATAAATAATCATATTTGAATATAAGTAAAAGTCAGTCAGTCAGTCAACTACAACGTAGGACCAGGCACATATGTGCATCGGTCCAGGTTGCCATACCGCATCAGCACAACAAGATGAACACCGGATTCACAGCAGTGGTTATGTCAAATGTGGTAATATATAAGAGAAGGATTCCATATAGAGATATAGTACAAGAAGAAAGAATTGGTTCGTAGAAAGAAAGATATGAAGCGATTTTATTCTCTTAGTTTAAGGGAAGACAGAGAGTGTATACACCGACGCCATTGTGATCGATTCTGAGCCATATCACGAAGAGTCTCCAACCATTGGTTACGATAGTCACGCAGACCCCAATCAAGTAGTCTGCATCTACCAACATGGCTCAGACTAGAAGTTAGTGACTTCAATGACACTTCAGTGCCACGTTTTGGTTTGGCCGCCTCTAACTTTCTTCCAACCATCTCCAATACCGGATAGCATTGCTCGTCGTCATCAACTGATTTACCGTCATTTCCTAATACCCTGCGTCTAACCTCACTATTACTTACCCGGTGATCCCAGCAGACGCCAGCAATATTTCTGAGGCATCTGTGGTCAAATAATAATAGCTTACGAGTATCTTCTACTCTTAATGGCCATGTTTAGCTACCGTAAAGTAAAACAGAACGGACTGCCATGCAGTATACCCGTCCTTTTATTGATAGACGGATATCTCGCCTTCGCCAAAGGTGACGTAAGTAGGCAAAAGCCAAGCGAGCTTTTCGAATCCGTGTTGAGATTTCGTCAGACACCAACCCATTAGGGCTGATCAGACTTCCAAGATAAGTGAAGTTGTCGACGCGTTCGACTACTTACTTACTCCTTACTTTACTTATAATTACTTATGCTTGTTACTCCTAATGGAGCATAGGCCACCGACCAGCATTCTCCAACCTCACTCTGTTCTGGAACATCCTTTCCAGTTCATTTTTCTCATGTCGGTCTCTATTTCTCGGCATAATATGTTCTTTGGTCTTCCTCTCCTCCCCTTGACCCTGAGGATTCCAAGTGAGGGATTGCCTCGTGACACAGTTGGGTGCTTTCCTCAATGTGTATCCTATCCACTTCCAGTGCTCCCTCTGTTGGGATTTGGTTTGTTATCTCTCACAATAGGTTGTTGCTAATAGTGTCTGACCAACGGATCCGAAGTATTTTGCGTAGACAACTGTTAATAAACACTTGTATCTTCTGGATGATGGCTTTCGTAGTTCTTCAGGTTTTCGCCCCATACAGTAGAACTGTCCTGACATTTGTATTGAAAATTTTGACCTTGGTGTTGGTTGACAGTTGTTTTGAGTTCCAGATGTTCTTCAGTTATAAATATTGTATTTTACATATCAACAGTCGTGACATAATTGACAACATACAAAATAATTTAATGGGGTTTATTGAGAATAAAAGCATTCTATACAGTTAATATTTGAGTCCCGGTTACCTAGTTTCATAGTTTAAGATTTTATCATTGAGATATTCAAGTGATGCGGCTTTTGATCTCAAAAAGAGAGTCGATTTCCTCAGAATTGCAGAGAGGTCATCCTGACGAATACCGACTAGGACAAAACTGATGTCCACAGTACCCTGTCGACTACTAGTGCCATCCATTTAACAATAAATCACGAAATTCGGATACAAGACTTATCGATCGCTTCTCCGACTTATTTAAATCAAAATTCTTTTTCAGTGTTTACAAATAAAGTGTCGCAATTCATGTTTATCTCTTTTGTTTTATTCTTGCAGTACAATCGATCCATCAACTACAAAATCATTACCAGTAATCGTCCCACCATGGTTCGCATCATTTTCTCAATCGAAATATTCTCACAAGACATCAGATATTCAATTACATACACATTATACGGAGCATTTAGTCGATTCGAATAATACCACTAATGCTGCAATATCTATGCATGATACAGATCGAACAGAAAATAGTCCAGTTAATATTGGTAGTAGTAGTAGTAGTGGTACTACTACTACTACCACTACAACGACTACAGCTTCTACTACAACTAGCAGTACTAATGATCATCATCATCAAGGTTCTGTTACAACTAACACCACATCTCAATCAACTCACTCTTCATCAACATCAGCTGTTTCTGGGACGTCGAATTCCACACCGGGAAGTTCCGGTGTAGGTGTATGCACCTCGTCCAATTCACTTGTTATAGGCTATTATATGGGTGATGATCCGGTACCCTATAGAAGTTTATGGCCATCATCAGAGATTACACTTGGTCAATTTAAACAATTAATTCCCAAGAAAAAAGGTTTATTCCGGTAAGTGATATCGTGTATATATATATTGATGTTATTCTAAGGTGATTCTTTAAATGTTACATGGTTACAGTTAAGTGAGAGAAAAACTTTCATCCCTGTATTCGATACTATTTTGTACAAGGTGCATCAGTTTCATCAAGATTACAGGTACACCTTGGTGACAAATCCCATCTAGCTGGAAATTTTAGGTTTAGTAGAGTTCCCAGTCAACTACCTCGAATCACCCGCGGTGTCAGCACAGGTAGTTTTGTAGGTAATACCGAATCGCTTAGACTAATGCGATCCTATCACAACTTAATCAATTAAATCTACTCAATACTAAAGGAGTAGATAAACATGTTGGAGATGCTAGACCCTGAGAAATCACTTGGTAAACTTCCTATTCTTGTAATCTAATCGTGGAAGTTCGAATTTCTCCTTTTCGCACCTAAAAGCGTTCATCATTACCTTCAGCTTGTATTTCTCTCCGGGAACGAACTTAAACTCCATTGATTCGTTTTCGATTTTAACACGCTATTTTATGAGACTTTTCAAAGACATTTTTGTATTGTATATATTACATATGAGTTTAGTGCTTGTTGTTCCACCTTCCGGGCTGCTTGTTGAACCGTATATTTTTACGTCTGAATTTAGTCTTCTTCCTTTATTTAGTAGGGCCATAGCACAGAGGACTAGTTTAGTTTCATTCTGTTTTTGCTTTGCTTATTTTTGTTTCCGTTCACCGATCCAAGGTAATATCATAATACTGTGAACATAACAAAACATGACACTGATCACACTACTCAGTGATTAATCACTTGTAAACGATTCAAAATAGTGTCAAGTAGTTTTATTGTCTCACTTTAATGGTGGTCATTTTCTAGTTAGAATAAACTCTGTACTCGTTCGCGATTTTGATCTTGAACCTGGAAACCAACCAAAATGTAGCGGGAAATTATTATTCACACCATTGTAATCAATCTGATAGAGGGTTTGTTTCGTTTTCTATCATTTTTGTTGGCTTACATTAAAAAAAATGTAAAATCTTCTATGACAATAATATCACTTTATCATGCTATGGATATATGTCAGGTATAGGGTAGTCAGTCATGTGGTCGTGATTGTATGCGCGTGACCATCTAAGAGCTGACTCGCCCCACTCTGGATCGTATCAGGGTATTTGAAGGCATATGATAAATAACTGTTCAAGTGTTTATTCATCTTTCTCATTGTCTACTCGTATTCACATCAAAGTTTACTTTTTTTTTTCTTTTTCTTTTTCAAACAAAAAAACAGATACTTTTTTAAGAAAGCATCTGATGAATTCGATTCCGGTGTAGTCCATCAAGAGATCACCAATGATGATACTATTCTACCTTTATGGGAAGGTAAAATTGTCGCCAAAGTTGAACGAATTGATTAATAGTTGACAATAGAAGATGTTAGTTGGATTTTTTTGTCTAAGGGTATAATAATTATGAAATCTGGTTATTCTCTTTGATTTTCATTATGTTTGAGAGTGATGTGGCAATATAACCACCTAGTTGTATCTCTTAACTATTCTCTTTCTTTCTTTCTTTCACTCTTTGATATGGCATTACACAAATCATTAGATTATTCAAATGTAAAAATAAGCGCCTCAATCTATTGTATCACAATTTTTTTTACTCGATCACTTTCATTCTATCCGTCTATACGACGCTATTATCTTCTTCATTATTCTCAATATCCGGTTATTATCATTTTCAATTTATTCTTAATAATAATAATAATAATGATGAGGTGATTGTGGTCATTTGTGCCTTCTTATCATCATTATTTTGGTTGTTTTTAAGCTTTATTATGTATGTATGTATGTATGTGTGTATATGTGTGAGTGTGTGTGTGTGAGTGTGTACGTGTTCGTGTATATGCAGTACATTTCAGTCAATCGTACATACTCGCGCGTGCCCATCCCGATCAATGATGCTTCTTTTTCCATATGGGTTAAACAGGGTATATTATTATTATTATAGTTTCTATGTTTTTTCTCTCTCCTATTTTGTTTTTTTTTCCTTTTTTTTTAAAATTCTTATATCGTAAAAAACAATTTTCGATTTGTCCATTTTTTTTTAAAAAAAAACACATTTATATATATCCCAGTTGTATTCTATAGGGTAGGGGTGTTAACAACGATAATCACTGAGAGGGAGAGAGAGAGAGGAGGTCATTGTAAATGTTTACTTTATGCAATAGTTACCTCTTGTTCATTTCTTATTAGCTCTTATTTTACATTAAACATATGCTGCTACTACTACTACTACTACTACTACTAATAATAATAATAATAATAATAATAATAATAATAATAATAATAATAATAATAATTGATATGATTTAATTGTTGCCTTTCAATTCTTGCCCATCTCCATTTGACATACATGACAATTATGATTAACACTATTTAATCACCAATGTTACTATTCGTATGTTTCCTTAAAAAAAAATTCCCCCCCCCCTGGCTTTTACAATCCATCTTGATGGGTTTTTTTTATTTTTATTTTTTAAACTGACTACTATGATTATCATTGATAAGGTCAATTCAATCTTCATTAGATGAAGAGGGTAGGGAGTGGGGGGGGTGACGCCGTATGAACGCACATAATCTGTTTACAAAAATCAGTGGAGTATCTATTTGAATGATGAAAGAGCCCAAAAAAAACTTATTTCTTTTTGGTTTGTTTATTTATTTTTTTGTTCAATAAAATGTTTCCCTTTGATTAGTGAGTAAACTGCCTATGTGTACACGTGTGTGCGCGTTTATGTGTAGTTGATGGAAAATTGGAGACAAAAGGGGGATCATGCAACAAGTACGCACACACACATCCCCACACATTATAGATCATAGAGTAAATAATAATAATAATAATAAATATGTTTTCTACTCATATTTCCTCTTCTGATATGAATTTTATTGTTTTGTTGAATGAATGAATGGTCTATAAATGGCATTATGTTTCTATAGTTTATTGTGCTTTATAACATCATTGCAGTACATGTGTGTTGTAGTTTGTAATGTTGATCTATTTCTATTAGATAAAATAAATTTGGTGTTGTTGTTGTTGTTGTTGTCGTCGTCATCATCATCATCATAGGTGATTTGAACAGTTTGTTTATTTCAATCTCATAATAAGAATAAAATGACCATGTACTTTTATTTCAATCTTTACTATTCATCTCAACAACACACAAGACATGCATATTAATCAAAAAAAAAAGAAGAAGAAGACATGTACTGCATAACAGTGCAGATTGTTTCTTTCCTTTTCGATGATTATTTCACGTAGTACCAGTCGAATTGGAGATCTAATTCACGAAAAATTGTTATAATTTGTGCCATGTGTCTTATTCATATTGAAATTAATGATACTGGCAATTATCGACTGGGTCAATAATGCATAAAACCATTTATGAATAGTCTAGAGACTTTAGCGGTCCTGCATCCTGGTTGTCTGTTGAGTGCAGAGCACATCAATCTGAGCCTCTGTGATATGAATCTTATATTTCACAAACATACTGGGTTCATATACACCAGCCGCCAAACAGATCACATTGTTTTAGATTGTGATCATGAACCGATTGATGTTAGACCACTACAATTGAAAGCTTGGGAGCAGTAGACGGCCGTTTCGTGCTATTGTGGGACTCCTCGGCAGTGATTAAGCGTTCGTGCGCGAGACCAAAGGCCCTGGGTTCAAATCTCGCGAGCGGGATCGTGGATGCTCACTGTTGAGGAGTGCCTCAATAGGACGGAATGGCCGTCCAGTGCTTCCAGGTTTTCAATTGTGTTGGTCTAACATCAATCCGTTGATAATCTCAATCAAAAACTTAATAATCTCCACAACCCCTATACTAGAGATCACATTGTATCATAAAATAGAAGATAACGCAAATAATCAACACTTTAATGTTTATTGATCCTCGAACCTCTTTTTAACCGAATAATCAATTAAAAGATGATGATTGGCAAGGAGATTAACTGTTCATTGTAACTAATTTAATTATATAATGATATATTGGAAATAATACCAGACCACACACAAAGGGTATCAAATATGAAATACAATTAAACCGTAACCAGCATTAAAAGGCAGAGTAAACAATATACCATTAAAGAATGGTGAAGTATCTAAAAGTAAGTAAGTCTATCATAAGTTTACAATAAGTGGAACATAGAAATCTAACAATAAAATTATTTACTAATTATACAATAAAGATATAAATCATCATAATCTGGTAAATAGAGTCGAGCTTCTCAACTACTCCAAGAATCATTCTGTTATAACAGTATGATAATTCAATTAAGGTGGTGGTAGTCGACAGAACAGCTTGTATTTAAACTTTATGCTTGTTAGTACTTAACAGCAAGTTGTATCTACAGTCTTATGGTAACGGATATTCTCTGTAGAATCAGGACTCGCGTTATCCACCTTCATAAACTGAGATATTATCGTTGAAATATCCGAATCATAACTCAGGGCTGTAATTACTAATTATTATCTATCACTGATTATTTGAATCAATATCATGTTTGTTTACATCTATCTATAATGTTGATCAAGTTAGTTGTAATTGACAATTATTTATTGAGTTATTCATCGAGAAAGTTTGTATCTTAACATACTAGAAATATTCAAAGTGTATGTTTTGAATAGATTCTCCAATGTAGATAGTTAAGGTTAATTCATCATTCATTTAATAAACAAATACGTATGCAATAAATGTAAATGTCATAGTACATGATGTAGAAGATTGGAAGTTGTAGGCATAAAGGTATACAACTTGAGCTCATTGTATTACGTTGTTATTGTGATCTCTAAGTTGGATAGACTATGTTGTACAATTTTCATCGTTCACAAGATCACTGAGATATGTAGTCAAATGTACCTGTTGCGAGGCAAGCCCCGATTTGGAATTCTGAAGGGAAGCGGAAGAGAGGAAGGCCAAAGAACACATTACATCAGGAAATAGAAGTAGATATGAAAAGGATGAATAACAACTGGAAGGAGCTGGAAAGGATTTCCCAGGACAGGGTTGGATGGAGAATGCTGGTGAGCGGTCTATGCTCCCTCACGAGGAGTAACAGGCGTAAGTAAATAAGTACCCGTTGCAATGATAACGTGCTTCACAATTAATCCACTCAGTTTAGAGGTCATAACAACTCAGACATTATCATCCTGAACTACAAATGTTCTCTATCATCTCATGTGTTACGTTCTCTAAATGGATGTACACATACACAATCCTTTTAAGCAAGCCCTACCCTTGACGTTAGTGACATTAAAGATAAATGGGATGCTATAACTGGCAACCAAATCACTGTATACACAACTTATTGATCAGTATATACTTTCACGACTTGAATTTATAGATTGAAACTTTGACAAACTGCATTTCCCCGTTTGATCTGATATAAAATATGTTATGTTATCATCTCTCCCAAATCAGTACTCATTGGGATATTATAAATACATTATTGATTTATAGATTTATCATAAATTCAAACAATCATTATCCTAAAACATCATATTATCGAAGGTATGTTTTTTTCTGGTGTTTAGTTGTTATAGACGCATATTTTATAAGATACACTGGTATGTGCTACCAATGTTGACAGATATAAGTAGATAAAGCAAGAATAAACATTGATGCAGAATAGTATGAATTCATATGAATTCGAGGTTTTGTCGTCAGTTGCTTACAAACCAAAATTGTGGTAGAATTTTTTTTACATGGAGATAGAGTGAGAACAAATGACATAGATGAGTGTAAATAACTGGGTTACAATAATAACTATATATATATATATGCTAGAAACAGGTCAGAGGTCAAAATGAATTAATTCGGGTTGGGTGGTGTAATAATGCAATTGAATAATCATAAGATAGGTTACGTAATAATAATTAAATAGGATTTGAGAAGTTAAGATAATTTAGGAGGATCAGGTGGTGGAAATGCGTAAATAATAATGTGGTTTAAGAATTATGTAATAGGGGAGGAATATAAATATTTTAAAATAAATATAATAATAATAATAATAAAATGGTTACCAGGGTAGTGATAAGCTAATTAACGTCTCTTTTTGAATGCATAAGTCAGGTTTAAGTTTTTTGATCATAATAGCTTCAGCAAAACGGAGGGTGGTCGTATTTTTTTTGTCTATTGATAACTTTGAAAGCATGAGGAATGTCGATGGTGTGCCCGGTGTCAAGTAGATGTCGAGCTATTGCACTGTTGAAAGCCCTGGTCCCACGCAGCCTCAAGCTTTTTGGAACGTGCTCAGAAATGCGGACATGCACTCTTCTCTAGCATATATATATATATATATATATATATATAGTTATTATTGTAACCCAGTTATTTACACTCATCTATGTCATTTGTTTTCACTCTATCTCCATGTAAAAAAAATTCTATCACATTTTTTGATTTGTAAGCAACTGACGTGAAACCTCGAATTCATATGAATTCATACTATTCTGCATCAATATTTATTCTGGCTCTATTTAAATTCATAAAGGGAATCAATTGCATGAGATATAAGTAGTATATATCATCAATCAAAATTGAAATGCCTAATAACAGAATGTTAAGGAGATCAAAGATTGTTGTAGAAGCAAAAGAACAATCAAGTTGAAGATGATTAGTTGATAATTTCCAAGTAAATTATTTATTTATCGATACCAGTATTTTAGATACTATGTTTGTTAAACTAATCCCTCTGTGGTTGTCACAGGATGATTTTGACCCTTTCTTATATATTGGGACGATAAGTGATTGTGACCAGTTAGATGGGATAAAGTCTAATTCCCAGATCTTAGCTAAAATATTAGTCAACCTAATCGCTAAAATTGGACCACCATCCTTAAAGACCTCTGGAGCCAATCCATCTGGCTCAGAATCGATCACAATGGCGTCGGTGTATACACTCCCTGTCTTCCCTTAAACTAAAAGATTAAAATCACTTCATTCTTTCTGTCTACGAACTAATTCTTTCTTCCTATACTATATCCTTATTGCAACCTTTGACCTAACCACTCCTATGAATCCGCTGTTCATCTTGCTGTGCTAATGAGGTATGGCAACCTGGACCGATGCACATATGTGCCTTGTCCTACGTTGTAGCTGACTGACTGACTCTCAGATTTTATTAAGACATTCTATATTCAAATATATTCGATTAGTCCATATTAGTGGTCTCATCCACACAAAAGCAACGATAAGATAGATACCTGTGGACAGTGCATATTACTTATCGGTTGATTTGTTAATTTGTTAATTGTTCACAACTTTCCACAATTGGTCAATAAGTTCAAGGTTCAAAACCCACTTCATTTGTTTGTTTTTAGCATAGAAAAATCAGATAGTATCAGTACAATATAGTTTGAAATCAACAATATAAACAAACTATAAACTATGCTTTAATCATATTGTTATTAGTTAAAAGAAAAGAAATAGATAGTTAGATAGATACTACTAACACATAATTGGTAGTAGTAGTAGTAATAATAATAATAATTCTGATAAAACAATACAATGAGGTTTCTTTTATATAAAAAAAAACAAGAGAGAGAGAGAGAGAGAGTAAACGAAGACAAAATGCATAAATGATTCAAGTGGTCACAATAGAAATAGTCAATAAAATAAAGAATAAAAGAACAAGTTCCATAAACAGTAATGAATTGTAATGAGTAATGATCTATTCATGAATAGATTCATCAGCTGTAATGTTTATGTTCACCTTTAAAAGAGAATAATTAGAAGAAAAAAACGGAAATATTATTTCTTAATTATAATAACATTTTAAGTAAAACAAACAAATGAATAGTGGATAGTAGTTAAGTGGATAATGCGATGTTGTTTGAAGTAAACGGTACTGATGTTCGAGTCCCACAGTGAATGTAGGTAATATCCACCAGCTGACGATTATTCAAACAGGACAAAACGCGAATTATGAATTCCATTGCTAACCAACAACCATTTTTATTTATCAGGATAGGAATTCTGGAGGCTATTGCGTTGTTTGATTTAGATCACGAACAGATTGATGTTAGGCGGCCATTAAAGACCTGAAAGCACAGGGCGATCTTTTTTCCCTATTGTGGGACCCCTCGGTAGTGTGCATCCACGACTCCACTCGTGGGACTCAAACACAGGGCCCTCAGCATCGTGCGCGAACGCTTAACCTACTGAGCCGGCTTCCAATGGTGTTAATATGTAACCTGAACCAATCCACGAAATCGCGCGATTATCTTTGTTTATTTGAATGCAATTAATCAGTCTCTTATTGGTATATGTGCATCTAGTGCGGATGGATAGTGGCCAGCAGTGGAATCTAGGAGGCACGTTTCGTTGTATTTGGGACTCGTCAACTGGATAAACCTGTACCTCAGAGTTGTTGATCACTTTGGGACTCGAGCTCAGTAGCTAAGTGGATAACATGATGACGTTTGAAGCGAACAGTAAGCAAGAACCATCAGGTTTGTTGAATAAAATGAATTCATTAGTCTATTTCACGGCTTTTCATCATCTGCATAGAAATTCCAAAAGCAGGTACCAAATTGATATGCGCCACATAAGTCATCCGATTTGTGAGCGGGCTTGCATACTGCCTGTGTGCCCAAACCGAAGAAGGTGGTTCTGTTGGAGGGCCCCACACCCGGAGCCTTCGACTTAAATGTCTGATCCAAAAGGCAGTAGAGCGATGTCAGGAGATGCAATCCTATTTTAGCTGATCACCAACAATTGGTTCATACGCCATTTGTTCACTCAGGATCCTG